TGCAGTAAGTGACTGTTATCATCAATAACGTTACCTGTTGAACATAAAAGTTCAGAACATACAAAAACGTAAAAAACTTAATATTACCTATGAAATGTTCTGCCTTTGTGCTTCGTTTTCTTTGTTTGCTCGTTACTACACTCGTAGACAGCGCTAAAGTCCCCCATCTTCATGTAATAACACTGTCTTGACTAGTGCGGTTGAATGACATTTGTCCTGGGAGCACTGTACCAATGTGGCGGCGCTATTGACGCATGCTCAGGGTCCCTATGCGATATCTAGTGTATAAATCTATGGTTTGTGCACTGTAAAAGTAATTCTGCTGCCTTAAGTTGTTTAGTTACATCAACTTGTAGTCATCATTTAAACTGACTGAAAATAACTTTGTATTTGTTGGAAAAAAATAGTTTTAAATTAACATATTTAAATAGGTTTCATTATTCAACGTATCATAAAAACATTTGCTCTCATTTCATTATTTACACAGTGTGTGTTCAATAAAAAGTGAATGCACATAATAGCTATAAATTAAATTCAGCTGTAGAACATATTGCATTATAAAAGATAATGCTAGATTTTTTTATTATGCAGAATAAAATATTGCGTTTTATTTTTAGTTGAATCAACTTAACTTTTCTGGTCATCTCAACTTACAATCAGGGTGCGAATTACAGGGGGGTTTGGAGGGCATTGACCCCCCTAATTAACGCTTGATCTCCCCTGAAGGAGATCAAAACAAGATGGGGGGGGTCAGTTTAATATTGAGAAATATTTCACTCTGATCTATATTTCAAATAATAATGCTAATAACTAAAATAATAGATCATATAAATAAACATTTGACCACCCCTATAACGATTCAAACCATTGTTAATGCATAGTTGTGCCAATCAGTCTGTTTGAGAAACAAAGTCTGAAAGTGGGGCGACGCAGTGGCGCAGTGGGTAGCACATTCGCCTCACAGCAAGAAGGTTGCTGGTTCGGTATTCGGCTCAGTTGGCGTTTCTGTGTGGAGTTTGCATGTTCTCCCTGCTTTCGCGTGGGTTTCCTCCGGGTGCTCTGATTTCCCCCACAGTCCAAAGACATGTGGTACAGGTGAATTGGGTAGGCTAAATTGTCCGTAGTGTATGAGTTTGTGTGTGTATGTGTGGATGTTTCCCAGAGATGGGTTGCGGCTGGAAGGGCATCCGCTGCGTAAAAACTTGCTGGATAAGTTGGCAGTTCATTCCGCTGTGGCGACCTCAGATTAATAAAAGGGACTAAGCCGACAAGAAAATGTATGAATGAATGAGTCTGAAAGTGGCAGATCTAGAGCACCAGCAGACATCATGTTTACAAGACTTTGTTTTCTCGTAAAATAGGTGTTTGTTTCAATATTGAACCTGAAAATCTAATCAAATTAGATGCATAGTTTGAGGTTTAACCCAGTGTTTCTCAACCACGTTTCTGGAGGACCACCAACACTGCTTGTTTTGGATGTCTCGTCTGTCACACCTATTACAGGTCTTTCTTTGCTAATGAGCTGATAATCTGAATCAGGTGTGTTTGGTAGGAGGGCCGGTGTCCTGCATAGCTCCAACTTCCTTCAACACACTTCCCTGGAAGATTCTAGTACCTAGAAAGAGCTGGATTAGCTGGTTCAGGTGTGTTTAACTTAAATATGCAAGACATCAGCCCTCCAGGACCGAGTTTGGGCACCCCTGGATTAAGGAGACATGAAAAATATGCACATCCTCCAGGAACGTGGTTGAGAAACACTGGTTTAGTAACATCTGAAATGGCTAATCAGAATACTGTAGGTCAGAGAGTGTCCCCTAAAATGTTAAAAATGTATTAATAAACTAGATATAATAAAAAATAAATGCATAAATGACTGAAGCATATCATACACAAGCTAACCAAAACAGTTGACCCTTCTCATTATCCGTGTATAATTTGAGCCACTGCTTGCATCAATCACACTAACTAAACAAATCAAGTTACAATTGGTACAACTTTAAAAAAAACAACTGTTAACTACTAATAAAGTTAAAGCTTATCATTAAAAACATTTGTTTTCATGACTTATTTTACCAAAATGCTCATAAACATATATTTGTACAGTATGTGTACAACGAAAGTTGTGTATGCACATGAAAATTGATATTGTTGTTGTTTTTTATTGTTATTGTCTGTGTTAGATATTATGGATGATATGTTTTTATTTATTATTAATAATTGGACTTTGAGTCTGTAATAAAGTTTGAATTAATGCATGCATAATAATAAATTCAATGCAGTTCAATCAAACAGCAGATGGCGCAATAACCAAAGAAACGCGTCGGATGACGTCATCAGTGTGACTGCAAGCCTACAACACTACAGAAACAAGCGATGATTAATTATTGCTTCTTTGACTATCATTTTTTTATTTATTCTAATGCTTATGGATATATTTGTGTCCGATATGCATGTGTTATAAGTAATAGGCTACATCGTTTTATTCAATATATAAGATCTGGTATTGCTTGATCAAAACAACGTCTTACGCGAAAACAGAGACATTAGAGCTTATTGAAGCCGGACACTGTTAAATCAGCATCTGCTCCCGATCTTAATGAGCCTTCAGAGAAAATCGATCGGTCAGTCGAGGCTCTTGTATTGTGTTTGAGAGGCAGATGTCACGATTTTCAGCAGATGGACAGAGGACACACACACGCATTGATCCCACAGAGATATGCAGGAGCAGAGCGCACCTACTGTTCACTCTCCCTTTAAACATCGTGACGAGAATCTACTATACCGTCCACGCTTTTAGACTTGCAGCGTATTCGTAGTAGATGGCCTGCGATCTCAAACACATGCGGATAGACTATAGTGAAGCCAATGAGGATAGTTTCTCAACAGTATATACAATACTGCCTGTATAAATAGATATCCTCTTGGATGGATGGATGGATGGATGGATGGATGGATGGATGGATGGATGGATGGATGGATGGATGGATAGATAGATAGATAGATAGATAGATAGATAGATAGATAGATAGATAGATAGATAGATAGATAGATAGATAGATGGATAGATAGATAGATAGATAGATAGATAGATAGATAGATGGATGGATGGATGGAGCGATGGATAGATAGATAGATAGATAGATAGATAGATAGATAGATAGATAGATAGATAGATAGATAGATAGATAGATAGATAGATAGATGGATGGATGGATGGATGGATGGATGGATGGATGGATGGATGGATCTAACAAACCATTTATCTAGCTATTTACTTACTAGCTGATTAAGATGGCTTACCAACTGATTAAGATGGCTGAAAACCTGTATTCCTTTGACTTTTATAGTATTTGCTTTTCCTACTATGGAAGTCAATGGTTACAGGTTTCGAACATTTTTCTAAATAACTTAATTTGTGTTTAACAGAAGAAGAAAAAACCCCATAAAGGTTTGAAACTTGAAACCACTTCAGCGAAAGTAAATAGTGACAATATTTTCATTTTTGGGTGAACTGTCCCCATATTATAGCAAGGTGTTAGTTATAAAAAAAAACACTATGGGATGAGATACTAGACAGACAGACAGACAGACAGACAGACAGACAGACAGACAGACAGACAGACAGACAGACAGACAGACAGATAGATAGATAGATAGATAGATAGATAGATAGATAGATAGATAGATAGATAGATAGATAGATAGATAGATAGATAGATAGATAGATAGATCTAACAAACTATTTAACTTTGAAGATGGCTGAAAACCTGTAACCATTGACTTCCATGGTATTTTTTTTCTAACTATGGAAGTCAATGGTTACAGGTTTTGAATTTTTTTTTAATAATTCATTTTGTGTTCAACAGAAAAAAAAAATAAATCCATAAAGGTTTGAAAGTTCTTGAGGGAGAGTACATTTTCATCTTTGCGTGAACTGTCCTTTAATATTTATTCTAATAGTAAGGTGTTTGTTATAAAATACGTGACTACAGACAGACAGACAGACAGAAAGACAGACAGACAGACAGACAGACAGACAGACAGACAGACAGACAGATAGATAGATAGATAGATAGATAGATAGATAGATAGATAGATAGATAGATAGATAGATAGATAGATAGATAGATAGATAGATAGATAGATAGATAACTATTTAACGTTGAAGATGGCTGAAAACCTGTAACCAATGACTTTTATAGTATTTGTTTTTCCAATTCCTACTATGGAAAGTCAACGGTTACAGGTTTCAAACACTTCTAAATAACTTATTTTGTGTTCAGCAGAAAAAAATAAACACATAAAGGTTTGAAATTGCATAAGCGAAACTAAATAATAAGTTTAAATTTAAGGTGAACTGTCCCTTTAATATAGCAAGGTGTTATAAAATACTATGTGATGGGATATGATATGGATAGATAGATAGATAGATAGATAGATAGATAGATAGATAGATAGATAGATAGATAGATAGATAGATAGATAGATAGATAGATAGATAGATAGATAGATAGATAGATAGATAGATAGATAGATAGATAGATAGATAGATAGATAGATAGATAGATAGATAGATAGATAGATCTAAACATGCACAATAATTATCTATACACTAATAGTCTTTACACTAAAGGCAGCGGTACATACTTCATATGCAATTCGATTATAGTTCAGTATTATTAAACACAGCGAATGTAAAGACAGTCAGTCGCACGTGCACACAGTGAGTAAACGCAGATGATCAAATCTTCTGTGATGTGTGTGTGTGTGTCTCCTCATCCCTCAGCTGATCTCCGCGGTGTCCGTCCTCTGTAATGTCCGCTCAGGTGCGCATCAGTGTCAGGGAGCTCAGGCCATTAGAGCCGCTCTCTGACTGACACCCCCGTGATGATCAATACCGCATCCTCGCCTCCTGATTGGCTGAGCGCATCATCCATAGGAAGGCCCACCTCGAGAGCGTAGTGTAACATTTCCTTCCACGATATTTCAATCTAGCACGCAATTGAAGCACAAGGACGAAGAAGGTGCTTTAAAAAGGTAGGCTTTCGACTGCTTTGATCACAGAAAAGTGGGTGTTTGAAGGGACGCGAACGGAGATCGTGTGAAATAGCTCGTGTGCATGTGTGTGTGTGTGTGTGTGAGGAGACTCGTAGAGGGAGGAAAATCCATCGATGCAATCGTATTTGAATTGAATGCATGTTGAATATCCAATGCAACCTGATGATTAAATGAATACTCGCTGTGTTTATTTTCTGAGTCGTGTCGTGTGCGGGACGTTGGAGAGGTGACACCATGTTGTAACTGATCAGTGTGTAAGATCCATCATCTTCAACGTGCATTGTTTAACATCACACCAATGCATTCGAGATTTATTAAATGCTTAAAATCGACATTAATGCTCAGCATTATTATATACAAACCCTACAGCAGTGGCTAAGTGTAAAATAAGAGCTTTGAGTAATAATTAATGAGTTGGTGAAGATCTCATGCACACCTCCTGCTGTTAAAGCTGAAAAATAGCGTCAGCTGATGGTGTGAATCTTCTCATCTCCTTGTGTTTGCATGTATGGGCGTTTTATCTTCTGGGAAATTAGACTCCTTATTGTTCGACTGACAGCCTGCTATTAACACACACACACACACACACACACACACACACTCACACACACAGATGCTCTCAATTCCAAATTAACCCACATTTGTCCTATGCATTGCAACTCCTTTTTTTTTATGCAGAGGGGCCAAGATGGATGTTTTTATGAAGGGGCTTTCTAAAGCTAAAGAAGGGATGGCAGTGGCTGCAGAAAAAACCAAGGAAGGTGTTGCGGTGGCCGCTGAGAAAACCAAGGAAGGCGTGATGTTTGTGGGTAAGTCATGCAACATTTAATGCTCTTTTTTTAATGCATGCATCTCACGAATGAAGCGTGAGCTCTGTGGGAGTGGGAGGGACTGTGAATCTTGGAGCCCGAGGGCCAGGAGGGGGTTGCTATCTGTTCCACTGCCTCTCTCAGAGCATCACTATAGGTTCGGCCTCTATTGTGTAATTTTGTGATTGGCTGGGATGTTGGGTGGGGTTTTCTAGGCCTCTTACGTGGAGCATGTCCTACTGAAATTGATAGATGCTGGTTTTTCTTAAAGAGATGCATTTCTTTTCTTTTCTTTTTTCTTCTGTCTTTTATTTAGAGATTTTACGGCAAGTTTCAGTGAAACAAAAATAATAATCATATACAAATTTGAAATGGTATCAACTGAAGCACGTATACAGTTAAATAAAAATAAAACATCAGCAAATAAAAAGGGAAATAATAATGTGGCTTAGCAAAAAAAAAAAAGTGGTTTAGTGTTCTAGCTAATGCTACTGTAGTTAATACTTGCTGATTTTATTTTAAATGAATTTATTTTTAAAAAATTAAGGAAGTCTGCATTAATATTCTGTTATAAGCATCCAGTTTTTCCGTTATGATAGCAAAGTATTTGGTGTACAGTATAAATGTTTGAAATCAACCACATACATAAAGCACTAATGTGTGTGTGTGTGTGTATTGTTCTGTAGACTATCGGGAAAAAATAGCTTAAAGGGGCTTATAATTTTGTCCCTGAAATGGTGTTTAAAAATTTAAAACTGCTTTTATTCTAGCTGAAATAAAACAAATAAGACTTTCTCCAGAAGAAAATATATTATCAGACATACTGTGAAAATTTCCCTGCTCTGTAAAACATCATTTGGGAAATATTAAAAAAAGAAGAAAAAAATTCAAAGGGGGCTAATAATTCTGACTTCAACTGTATATATATATATATATATATATATATATATATATATATATATATATATATATATATATATATATATATATATATATATATACACAGTTGTAGTCAGAATTATTAGCCCCTCTGAATGTTTAGCCCCTCGTTTATTTTTTCCCCAGTTTCTGTTTAACAGAGAGCAGATTTTTTTCAACACATTTCTAAACGTAATGGTTTTAAAACTCATCTCTAAAACCTGATTTATTTTATCTTTGCCATGATGACAGTAATAATATTGTAGATATTTTTCAAGGTACTTCTATACAGCTTAAAGAGACATTTAAAGGCTTAACTAGGTTAATTAGGTGAGCTAGGCAGGTTAGGGTAATTAGGCAAGTTATTGTATAACGATGGTTTGTTCTGTGGACAGTCTGAATTTTTTTTTAGCTTAAAGGGGCTTATAATTTTGTTCTTAAAATGGTGCTTAAAAATTAAAAACTGCTTTTATTCTAGTCGAAATCAAACAAGACTTTCTCCTGAAGAAAAAATATTATCAGACATACTGTGAAAATTTCCTTGCTCTGTTAAACATCATTTGGGAAATATTTAATAAAGAAAAAAAAAATCATAGGGGGCTAATAATTCTGACTTCAACTATATATGAGCAATATCACACGAGTAGCGGTGTGATATGGCTGTATATCGGCACTGGTGGGAGGCGTGCGTTGGCATGAGAGCCCCCACCAGTGCTGATATACAGCCATATCGCACTGCTACGAGTGTGATATTGCGTTTATACAACAGTTTGACGGCATAATTGTGTATATAAAAACTAAATCAAACATGGAGAGTCTCAAAAACCCTTTTAAATAATAAATAAGAAAATTATTTAAAAAATTAAATAATAAATTCTTCCCAAATATAGATATTCAACTCATCTGGTAAAATTAGTAAAAATTGTATCAATATCTCAATATCGAAGGATTAAAAAAAAAAAAATATATATATATATATATCGCAATGTTAGATGTTTCCAATATTGTGCAGCCCTAATATATACACACTCACTGGCCACTTTATTAGGTACACCTGCCCAACTGCTCGTTAACGCAAATTTGTAATCTGCCAATCACATGGCAGCAACTCAATGCACTTAGGCATTTAGACATGGTCAAGACGATCTGCTGCAGTTTAAACCGAGCATCAGAATAGGGGAAGAAAGGGGATTTGAGTGACTTTAAACATGGCATGGTTGATGCCTTGTTAATGTGGTGGAACGGGAGATTCACATCATGCATGTGCAGCCGCAACTCTACAGCATGATGCTATCATGTCAATATGGAGCAAAATCTCTGAGGACTATTTCCAGTAGCTTGTTGAATCTGTGCCACGAAGGAATTAGGGGGTTCTAAAGCAAAAAGGGTCCAACCTGGTACTGGTAAGGTGTACCTAATAAAGTGGCCGTTGTTATATATATATATATTAAATATATTATGAGTAATGCATTTAATACCTAAAATAGCTGCATTTACATTTCAGCAATGTCCTTTTGGACAGAATCAAAATGCATAAAGAAAATTTATACACTTTCTGTCATTAATTTATTTATATATTACATAAAATTTTGATGTTGAAAATACGTTTTTGTTGTATTTTTAAGTGTGCCGGATTAAATTACGCTGAGGTCATGCAGTGGATATTTATATAATACATATATACATTTAAACAAATGATAATATTAAAGTCCAAATATATTACCTTAACTAGTGCACCGTAAATCATTATTACATCAGAAGGTGCTTATGTTACCAATAATGTGTTGTCAATAATATCCAGCTTAGTTTGGCTCATGGTTTCAGTGTTTTTCACATGATCATTTTTATTCATATAAATAAAGATCATAATTGACCTACTACAATATACAATTGAGGTCAGAATTATTGGCCCCCCTGTTAAAATTGCATTCTTTTATATTTTTTCCCCAATGTCTGCTTAACGGAGAGGCATTTTTAAACATAATAGCTTTAATAATTAATAACTAATGACTGATATTGTTATATTTGCCATAATGACAGCATCAATATTTTTTCAAGATACTAATATTCAGCTTCAAGTGACATTTAAAGGCTTGACTAGGTTAATTAAGGTAATCAGGCATTGTATAACAGTTGTTTGTTCTGGAGACAAAACAAATATTGCTTAAGGGGGCAAATAATATTAACCTTAAAATGGTTTAAAGAATAATTAAAAACTACTTTGATTCTAGCTGAAATAAAACAAATAAGACTTTCTCCAGAAGAAAAAATATTATCTAAAATACTGTGAACATTTCTTTAAACATCCCTTTGAAAATAGATATGAAATAAGTTAGATATTGCACAGAAGGGCTAATAATTCTGCCCTCAACTGTGTACGTCACTATTACTCCAAATGCCGGACATGCAAGTCATTTCTGAGGTTGTCGTCAGTGCGCAGCCTCCCGAAAATGCCCTATTTGTAATCTTCAGTCATCAATCTAGAAAATGAAAAGCGCTCAAGATATTGATTCTAGTAGAACACAAACTCTTCCGAGAGAAAATCCATTTGGTGTAACCCGATGGTATAAGGTGATTGTTAATGTACAGGCTAATTTGAGAGTGAAATAACACCGCGTGAGATGGTTGACTTCTGGAGGCCGTCCAGCATCGCTCTGATCTCCTATCGGGCTGGAAAAGAGCCGTTCGGGCCACATGTCACACTATTCCATGAGCTCATAGACCTCTATATGCACACAGAGCTGTGAGTGTGAAAACAGGACAGATACTTTCATTGCACACATACAGTAGCATATAGAGTAGTGCTGTCAAACGAGGAATCACTACATGCAACATGTATACATTTACTACATGCAACATAGAGAGTTAATATATATGTTTGTGTATTGTGGATATTTAACACAGACACGCATACAATTTTGTCAAATATTAAAAATGTAATATTTATAATGGATTTAATGCCTAATAAAGCTGCATTTAGATTTAGGGATTTTTTATTTTTGGACAGCATCAAAAATGAATGAGGAAAATGTTTACACTCTCTCTTATAAATTTATTTATTTAATAAAACAGGCCAGACGCTTCACTGCGCACACACACACACACGCACACACACACATACCATATACAGTTAAAACTAATGTTGTCAAATGAGTTATTGAGATTTATTACATGTAAAATAAGAGAATGTATTTACAAAATATATGCATGTGTGTATTATGGATATTTAACAAACACACGTACGTTCATATATATACAACATCAGAAATGTCCGACCCTTCCTATCTGAACATGCAGCTCAACTCCTTGTTCAAGCTCTTGTTCTCTCCAGACTGGATTATTGCAACTCTCTACTAGCCGGGCTCCCAGCTAACTCTATCTATTTATTCTTCTGCACAATGCTGTGAGTAAATTAGGATTGCAAAGAGCAAATGCAGTAAAAATGTGAAACATACATATTCAGTGTCTTGTACGCAGATACCTCACCAAATGCAGTGATGTCTGACTTTACTGTAGTGTTCAAATCGCTGTGCAAATAGTATAAAGTGCTGTCTTGAGCATTTTCAGCAAGTGTCACCAAAATCTGACTTTTTAGCATTGAAGAAATGTCCAGAGTAAACTGACAAAATGAAAACATGACTAAGCCATTTGACTATCTTGTTCATAAACAATGCTGTCAGGACTTTTCATTTTGATGACACTGACACTTTGATTGACATCAATACTTGCTTTTGAGGAATGAGCTCTCCATTATGAGCACATAACTCATTTTTGCAGGTTATCAGCTAGGTTTTGCAGTTTGTACTAATTGTTTTGATAAATGCATTAACTGTTGTGCAGAAATGCACTGGTGTTGTGAGAAACGCACCAAAGCGATTGAGAAAAACTGTAAAACATGGCAGCTCCTTTGTTTTCATCCTCCTAGACTGTGCATGAGTGAGTGACGTTTGTCTGTAAACCAATAGCGTTCAGCTGCACGTCTAGCTCCGCCTTTTGGTTCCCTTTTGTTGTGCTAGGTACCCTTCCTAAAGAAGTGGTGTGGTACTGGTCACATTTTGAGACCCTTTGACAGTGGAAACAGC